TCAGAGAATCTTTTGGCAGATTTTGAATGCAGATTTGAAATCAGCATCAAAAAGTACGCCTAGCAGTATAGGTCCCATTTCAAATGGCCACTTCGACTTGGGATCCTTCCCTTGTAAGTTCATCTAGATACCCGACCCGTCTGGTACGACAAAAGCAGTGATTTCTACATCGGCTAACCACCGCACGTCATTTTATAGGCCACATACGCATTCAATATGCCACTACGATTCTGAATGGAAGTCCAATGCGTGAGCGCATGCCTCAGACGGGATCAACTAACGCCCCAATACTACATCTTAACCTGATTCTTTACTACATTTGCACATAGAACCCTTCCGTCGTGCTATCCACGACACCGTGTTAACCTTCAGTTGCATCCGACTGCGTGTTTGATTAGCTACACTTGGAAAGTCCCGCTAGTCAAACAATGTCTGTGTCTTTATTTACCGCCTTTTGTAGTCTACCTTCGTCCACAGAATTTTGTGTAATCATGAAAATGTGAGGTTAGTGCAACTTACGACGGAATTGCAAGCCCATGAATTTCTAATCTTACCAAAATCAGTTCACAATATGCTTACACTCATCATCGTACTCTGCATTGATAGATTTACTTCACGTTTTTCTCTTTTCCTTGGTGCAGTCTACCTGACAGTGCAGTAGAACCTTGAGACCCGTTGCGCTCGCTCATATTTTTTCTACGTAGAGCTTTATAGGATGTGCTTAATGCTAATCTCTTCGACTTCGTGAATGATAAAGTTGCAGCTGGCAATCCTGTTATGGAAGTTCAAGAAGAAGATGGTACCTCTGAGGATATGGTATGATTTATCCTTTACATTATTTCATTTTTGTAAATGTCTCACAGATGAATAATAGAAGAGCATTGTAGGCTTCTCCACGGCTTGTGGAAAGTTTGGGTTCGTTCAATTTGGGAAAAGTGTGAATACCTAACATTAAGGCATAAGGCTGTTGCCTTGCGTTATAAGGGATGTTAGGTTGGTTCTATTAGTGAAACGGGCTAGGAACTATTCTCTCTATTTCTTCTTCATTCTGCTGAATGTCGTAGTGATGTGGCGCGATAGTAAATGTTCTATTCTGCTCCACTGATTTTGAAAACCTCTTACTATAGCCATGCTCGCATTCGTGAGCTCTACGCTATTTCGAACAGGGTCCTAGGTAAGAAGAGCGCTCTTCGAATCTAGAATTACATAAATTCGCTAAGAGAGCTACTTTTACTCAATACTTAACTCATCAACCGTCTTCCTCTGTGTAATCTGCTATTTGTTTTTTTAGATCGATATCTCCTCTGACGCTGTTGCTGCCTTCGAGAATCTTTCGATACCTGTTGATAGAACTTATAAACAAGGTGACCCTCAAGAGGTAGAAGCGTAAGTTTTCCACTACTTGCATTTGGTAACCATCCTAGCTCTTACTACTTGCTCTTTTAGATACTCGAAGGTTAATGATTTTATCCCATCCTTTCCATTTGTGCTGCCTGGTTTCAGTGTGCGAACACCCTTGCAACAAAACATGGCTGTCACGAACCTTCCATCTGTCATAAGGCCAAAAATTGGTGATGTGAAGTGAGTACACAGTGAAGAAAGTGATGTCTTTGTTATTGTAAGGCGAAGTTATCTTCACTCTTCTTTGTTAAGAGGACGTAATTTTCGTGCTGCCAAAGGTAATGAAGTCGCTTTCTCCATTGACGGATCTCCCATCGTTGTTTTGCCTACCTCCAGTATTGATCAGTCCACTTTGTTGATGAAGCAGGTAAGTCTTGTCAGTGATATCTTCAAGTTTAATGTTGGCGAAGGCGAAAGGGTCATGACAAGGTCCGTTGATGTGTTAACATTGAACCGAATTCAAGTTCAGTGTTAACGTTTCTTAATCTATGGAATACCTGACGCCGAATGTTTCTTCATCCGTGTCTTAAAAGCAGTGAACAGTACTGAACGGACTGTGTGTGGTATGCCGCGCGTTCAGTAATGCTTCCTTTCAAACTCATGGTAACGGAATTTGTTCGAGCATCTGAATCAGATTAGCCCCATGTAGTGATCTGATTGTAAAATGGGAGTGATGGGTAGCCCTATGTATAATAGTAACGAGAGATGGGAGATAATACATCTGCGCTTGCTCATTCTTGGTAGAGGCCTCGATATAGCTGAAGCTGTTCGACCTAGCAGTTCAACTCGACCTAACATTCGTTACTGCCCCCACTTACAACAATTAGTTGTTGCCATATTAATATTCTTTCTTCATATTTACATGAGTTTATAATTGTACAGGAAGATTTGTCATAATTGTATCTTATTCTGAGTCACCTACCTTCGCTTTGATTACCGAGTTGCTCACACGAGCACATGTCCACTTATCTCTGCTGCGAGCCATTGTAGCCCAATGGACCCTCCTCGCACGAGGACACGAAGCGTACGATTCCTCCGCGCAGAACTTTTTTGGACGAACTGACCATTACTGCGCTGGCGTTTGACATCTCATGGGATCCAGAGAGTAATTACCCTGTCCGACGGTCATCACAAATTCGTATCCTATCCTTTTGATCTTTGAGTCATTTACTTGAACAACGCATCCCTGGTCCTTTTTTTTTGAAGAGGCTTGGAACCCAGGTCTCCCCACTGCATTTGCATGCATAGGAAAATTTCTGGCATTATTCTTTCTACAGTGAGTTGAATGACCCATCAACTATGATATAATAAAAAGTAGTTTAAAGAAGGTTCATGCCTTAAATCGGCATTCACTAACAAATCCTTATTCAACAAGTCCAAATACGTCTTAGATGATTTCTGATGGGCTTGCTGTTTCATATTTTTGTTGAGGAACATATTTACTCCATATTTTTTTCACCGTAAGTCCAGTTTCCCCTTCGCTAACTGCTTCTATTCATCCCTTTGAAACACCATTGGTTTTTGCACAAAACAAAACTAGGTCGCATCTGTCAATGCGAGAAACTGTAGACGACGTCTTGTGAACATTCCACTTATTGTTTTGTTTTAGATTATTGAGAGTGAAGAGGACGCGTTTTCTCCAAATTCTCGCGAAGTCGTATCAATGTTCAAGTCCTTGATGCGGAAGAAGATGGCAGAAACTCAAAGTGAAGATCACCCGCAGGAACTGGATTGAGATGCATAGCTTCATTGGAGTATTTCTTCCAACTAAAATGTTGTGACCAATACATCTCTATTTCATGTCCTATTCTGACGAATATATCTAATCAAGTATTTTTTGAAACAACAATTTCTCGAAATTTCGCCTGATTACGGTTCTTTTGCATCTAATGCATATATGCTTTATTACTATGTATCAAAACATATACAGCAAAAAGGAAAGAGGCGGGACGTGGTAGCCATAGCGTGTGGCAAGTCATGAGGGCGAAGCCGACCAGGCGGCCTCCGATCAACCGATTATGTAGTAGTCTTACACAACATCTTGTAACATAGTTGATGAGGGCTGTCTGGGCCGAAGTCATTAAATGTGTTAGGAGATGATAGCTTTGGTTGTCCTCCATCGATGGAAGTCATCCCATGCTATCAGGAATCCGCCGTGTACGGTTAAATGTGTGCTGTATCAGTGGACATGTTTGGACTTATGCGCAAGAACAGTAGGTTGCAAATTGTGTGACCACTGAATGTCGAGCATTAGGAAGATATGTTTTAAGACAGTTATTAGCTTCAAAAGCTTTTCAAGCATGTCTGTTCGTCTTATGATTGTAGCAGTAGTGACGCTATTTGTAACTTCTAGAATTTCATCTACCTTTGCAAATAATTCGCGTATAGTTCGATCCACGATCAGAAATAAGTTCTTTTAGAATACGGTGCTCGAAACGTCAATTATTTAAGCTTTTATGTCTCCGATAAAGAGCAACGACTTCATCAAATACGATGAAAATGCGGACGTTATCGCAAAGAGACAAAATAATACTAGTAAGTGCGGACCCACTTAACTCGGGTCCGCTAGACCCCGCATCATTTAGGGACGTAGCTCCATTCATGGAACCGTCTCACGTGGTAAGACGACGAGTTAACTATAGGGGATCGTCGGCGAAGACGACGATACTCCAAAAATGTGCTTGTGGTCCAGTGGTTGCGTATATCTGTGACTTGTTTATTTGTGAAGAGGACTTATTAAGAAATAGGACAAATATGGTAATGGAAGAATGCTTCAAAAGGCAACAAAGTAAAGTACGAAGGTTACAAGTAATAGTGTTCAAATACCGTCTTGTCCTGGCCGTAGTTTGCGGTAGACTGGGGACCACGCTTTCTGATGGTCCCGCACGCTTGACCTTCCTTTCATATCGGGGTCCCTACATCCTTAGAACGTCGTCTCAGACTGTTAGAGCGACGAGGGATGGGGATCGTCGACTCCGTAAGACGACGAGGTAGTGATAGGGGATCATCGCCATAGACGACCACACAGGTAAACCGGTAGCAACTTCTAGCTGTCAACAACTTTGTCCACATACTTTTCACTTAATATAATCTCAATACTTAGTAATAGAAAATGAACTGATGGTTCCAAGGTGTGTCCATCACTTCAGACCATCTTTGATTGTAATCCCACCCACATAATCAGTTCCTAAAACGTGTTTTGATGGATACTGCGGACATCGAGCAGACCACACCCACTTCCTGCTGGAGGCACGACACGCAGAGACGACTTCTCTGTCTGGTTTCTCGCAACGAGGGACCTTCCGATTGACAACAGCCTCGTAAGCCAACTAATTCTGCCCACCAGCTTCACCCTCCTTCTCATATTGCAACAGCTGTTTAAATATGTTGTACAATTCTCCTTATTGCTAGTCAAACGATTTGATGGTTTTCGAAATGTTAAGGGTTCGATTAGGTGGATGGTTTTCGTTTGTGGTGCGGTGTTATTGGTGGGGCCTGTTCTTCGTCAACGGTTGATGGATGACTTCTATGCCACGAATGCATGCAGTGCTTGGTTTTTCGTTCTCAGCAATTCTATAGGCGAAATTGCTCCTTATTACCTGTGTTCTATATAACTGTTTATGGTAATGATGCTTAACTATTGCAATTTCAGTCATTTTTGGAATTTGGTTTTCTTCTTAGGAATTTCTTTTTTTTTGCCATGGTGAATCGGTCTTCGAGTCTTATCTAATTCAGGAATTATTGGTTATCAAAAGCCAGAGATCGGGATAGAATTTGTTCCAAATAATGACGTCTCAGCACGGTGAATTTGCGCTCTGTCCAAAGCTTTCTGCTCAACGCCGCAAAATATCGATTCTTTCTCGTTAGCTCCCCTACTTGGTTGCTTCGCATTAAAAACGTCTGTCTAAG